CCATCTACATCCAAAGTCCTACCTGCCCAGTAAACCTCCCAATGTCTCATGAACTGGAAGTAGATGTAAAGAGTTCCCAAATTTACATGGTAGGAGAAGGCTTGGGTTATATTTTCGGAGGAATACAGGAACATTTAAGCAAGTCTGTTGGGGTACAAAAAATAGGACCTTGTAAAATCATCTTCTGTTTCTTTACTGAAAACCTAGATTCAATGTTAACATCTTTTTCCATTCCTGGAATTGCCAAATTTAGAGTTTATGCTGATAAATTCTGGGGGGAAAATTACTTATTCCTCCATTCTCTTGGAGGGTCCTTTCATGGTAAAAAGCGAATTATTGTTTCCAGATCTAATAAGCACCTTAAGCCTCCTCTCGGTCTCCTCTGTCACTGTCATGTTGTTCTTGGATAGGACCATGCCATTGCTACGCTTTACACGTGTGATGTGTTAGGGAGGTAGCCAGGCACTAAGCATTCATTCGTAGTGCACATTTGCTGCTTTTAGTGTCCTTGAATCCCTTCTTTGGGAAGCTGCCCATCTCAATTCTCTGTGATTCTACGAGGCCCTCACCTAGACCTGCCGTCCCAAAGGGTGAGGATGTGACTCAGCATGGCCATCTGATCCCTTCTGGGGATTTGATTTTCATGCTGGTGATGGGGTGCAATATGATCTTCAGTTCTATCTTTGCTAAACTTGAAGGATATATAATTTTGGCCACTAATGGTGATGAGGCCTGTTATGTGCTCTGAAGTCTGCTTTGTGAAATAGTAATATGGCCATTCCGGCTTTCTTTTAATTAGTGTTGGATGGTATACCTTTGTTCATCCTGTAACTTTAACCTATTTGCGACATTATATTTAAAGTTTGTTTCTTATAGATAGCACAGGGCTGGTTCTTGCTCTTTTATCCAGTCTGACCATCTCTGCATTTAAATTGTGAGTTAAATCTACCATCTTGGTATTTGGATCTAGTTTTGCATCTTCTTTTTTGTCTACCCTTTTCTTCTTTTTCTGACTTCTTTTGGATTATTTTTTATGATTTGATTTTATCTCCTTTTTGGCTTATTAGCTATTCCTTTTTGTGTGTGTGTGGTTGCTCTAGAGCTTACAGTATATTTCTTTAGCATATCACAATCTACCCTCAAGTAATATTATAGTGAGCCCACTATTTATGCTTGAACATTTGTCTTTTCACACTGGTATATTTATTCTCACTGGATAAATTCTTAAAAATGGTTTGCAAAAGCTGTTGATTTTAAAAATGTATCTCTTTTATCCAGATATCTAATTTTATTATTAATTCTAAAACTTTTTCAGTTGATTTTGTTGGGTGGTTTAGGCATATAATCACATCATCTGCAAATCACAGTAAATTTGTTTTCACGGTTCCATAGTTATGTACTTCTGGCTTTTATTTCATATCTTGTTGAACAAATCAGACTTCTAGAAAAAAATTTATTTTTAAATTTCATTCCTAATTTCAATGGGAATAATATTGTTCATTAACTGATATATATTAAGCAGTTACTATGTGTTCTCAAAACACTATCTGTATGATCTTATCTCAACAACACTGTAAGGTAGGCCTCCATTTACAATGAGGAAACTGTGGCCAGAGAGGTAAAATAACTTACCTAAGATAAGAAGCAGAAGTAGGGTGTGAACTGTGACTCCAGATTGTTGGTTGTTACTTGTAGACAGGTGTGCTAGTAAATGTTTAACATCCAGCTCTCTGAAACAAAAGCCCCGATCTGTCACATTTGCCAATTTTTGTGGTGTAAATACTCCCACTGTGTCTGACATGGCTTCTTGAACGTGGATTGGGAGGAGATCCTCATTATTCCTCTTGGAAGCCGGAGCTGTCCACTCCTGCCATTTCCAGCCCACTGCAGCCTTCAGTGTTACAAGGGAGTGGTGTTGTTTAAGATGTCTACTAGTTGATATTCTTTGATTTTAAGAAACAGAAATCAACTAGAGCTGGCCCAAACAGAAGATGGACTTTACTATAAGGATATAGTTTCAGAACAAAGGGCAGGAGGGCCTTAGGAGGATTGGAAAGAGGAGCAGATATGTTGCAGGGTTCAGAGGCTCCCTCGACTCCAATTCTCTGTTTGCTGTAGCTCAGTGTTCTTGCATCTCTGGCCCACAGTCAGAACACTACTACCCAGTGCTCCTGAACATACTTGCTGAGGTTCCTGCCACCAGCAGAAGCTGAGGTCTTCTTTGACTGGTTCAGTTAGGTCAAGGATCAGCTTCAGGTCAGTCAGCCAGGGCCATGTGAATTTAATGGATCTCTTTGCCTCTTTTTGTGATCATATTTAAGATGTCAGTCTAGACTAGGACCATCTCCTCTGTTTCTGAAATTCTGATACACTTAAAACCCACCTTTGTACTATGGTCCTCTGGGCTCCTCACCATCTGGGTCTGATATCATCCTTGTCAGTCTTCCTTTTACTCAATTTGCCATTCTGGCCTTCTCGTTGGTCCTTGAATGTTACAAGCTCATCTCATCTCAGGGCCTTTGTATTTGCTCTTTCAGTGTCTGGGAAACTTTTTCTATAGGTCTTCTCATGGCTTATACCCTCCCTTCATTCAAGTATCTTCCTCAGAGAGTCCTTCCCTGAGCATCCTGTCTGAAACAGTCCATGCCATCTATGCCCATCCTCTTATCAGCTTTTTTCTTCACAATGCTTGATATTATCTGAAATTGTATTATGTATTCAACTATCTGCTCATGGTCTCCCAGCTAGAATGTAATCCGTGGGTGCAGGGACCTTGTCTTGTTTATAGCTGTATTTTCAGCATCCAGAATAGTGCTTGGCATGTTATAGATACTCAAAATCTATTTGTCGAATGCATGATTAAATGAATGAATGAATGAGTTATATTTAAAAATAAACCTTAACTATTGACTTTGTTTTCAAATGTGTTTTTGTTTATTCTGTACTTGAATAAAATAATATCTCTTTGAAAATGAGATGTAATTCAGATTTTTAATGGTCTGACCTTCCCTAATCTACACCTCAGCAAACTCTCTCCTAAACTCTCCCTACCGTATTCTAAATTAGTGAGGTTTTACAGTAATATGTGGAAATAGACTTTTGTTGTTCATTTGAGGTAGGAAATAGTTGATATGAATTATGATTCGGTGATCATTATGCTTTCCTGGTTAGAAAGGGAGTGTTGAGAAGAGCTGGTGTTTTGTTTTCTGTCTTTAAATGCTCTATGCAAACAAAAAACGTTATTCATTTGTTTATAAGACTGTGTCACAGATGACTCCCTCAAGAGTCATCTTTAATTAAGCTCAGGTAAAGTAACTCAGAATTATTATCAAAATAAATCTATGAGGAAAAATGGCTCTCTTCCTGAAAAAAATTGAGAAAAGTGCATTTCCAAAAGTATGCCAAAAAAAGGATATTTTTCTTTCTTCTGAAAAATTCAGAGCAAGAAGGAAAATATTATTTTCATGAGAGAAAGTATGCATTTGGCCATTGACAAACCCTTTTTCTTTCCAAAGCTGAAGAGATTTTCGGTTGAAGAAAATTGACAACTTTGTCCCCAGGCTGAATTTTATAGTTTTTACCAGCAACAGCTCTTTACTGAGTGAGCCTACATTGCTCTTGAACAAATTCAAGATTAACTAAAGGATTGGTGTTCTTAGACAATTACCAACAAATCAAACATTCTTTTACGGTTTTCTATAACTCCAGGCCTTGTGTCCTTCCTTACCTGTGAAAAATTTCCTAAGAAGTTGTTTCTTTTAAAGATAGTAGTTGATATATCTGGTAAAACAAGATATTCATACTGCTAAAGCAATGGTTTCCAACCTTAACTGCACATCAGATTCGCCTAGGAGCTTAAGAAGACAACATCAACCCAATGCCCGAACTCTACGCCAACCTAGATAAATCAAAAGGTGACCCAATACATCCTAAGTGTCATTCTTTTTTTGATCATTCACCAGCCGATTGTAATCTGCGGCCAATGTCGAGAGCCACTACCCTCTGGCCCTGAACTCCATCCTGGATGGGGTGTCTGGTGGGCTTGCTCACTGATCCTCCTCCCAGGCCAAGTTGTGAAGTCAGTTAAGTTAGTCTTTACTCTTTCATCTGCCTTTCTGTACCCCTCTTCCCATTCTTGGAAACTTCCGCTCCTGATGTATTTCTGAGGCACTCTTAGTCTGACCTGTGCCTACAGGAAAGCTATCAGACTCCCCCAAAATTCTTTCTTGCTGAAAAATAATCCCACAAAGCTCTTACCCTTTTCAGCATAGTATTATCACCCTCCAAAACAAACAAACAAACAATAACAACAAACCCAATACATAATAGAAAAAAAAAAAAGAATGCCGCATAATGCAGTTGGGGAATTGGAAGTAAAATAGGGAGAGGAGTAAGTACCCCTGACTCTTCTCAGTTGTCTTCTGGTAAGCAGCAGTCTACTCCAAAGGGCAGTTCTGCTGGGTGACTTTGGCAAGTTACTTAATTTCTCTGTGCCTCAGTTTTCTCATCTAAAATGGGGATGATATTAATATTGACTCATAAAGTTGTAGTGAGAATTAAATATGTAAAGCATTTGAAGAGTGCCTCATGTACAGTAAGCAGTCAATGCACTTTAGTAGTTATTACTAAAAAGTAGTTATTATTTTAAGTCCTTGAATTTCTAATTGGATGAGGGAGAGTTCCACATGGAACAGGCAAATAAACTCAGACAGAGAAAGCATTATGATAGATTTTCTTTTGCAGCTAACACACTCTAATAGTTTCTAAAAATATTTTGAGCTATGGCATCCTTATTGGTGTACATACACGTCTAGCTCCTATATTCCAAGGCAATGTCTAATTTATGCCATCCGTTTAGACGTATATATTCCAAGAGCGCCAGAAAAAATTCCCTTTCTTTACTGTATAATCAACATCTAAGACTCTTGGGAAATGATGGAAATGATGCACAGCTGGAGAAAAACAAGTGGCTCTCTAATTAACTAAACTCAAAACATAAATTAATGAACCCAACAAACATTTAATAATAAACTCTTTGCCAGATGTCATGCAAGGAAATGAGAATACCACAGGGAGGTGATATGGTCCACGCCCTCCTGTAGCTCAGAGTCCAGTGAGCTTCTAGAAGACAGTGTTGTTCAAGTCACAGACCAGGGTGATGAAGACATGCTTAGGGTCTGCTATCTTCAGCGCTGGGGGTTGACTGCCCCACTTCGTTTTAAGCCTTCCATATGAACGATAATAAATGAGGACATTATGAATATATTGGACTCATTTTTTCTCTTAAGGATATTACTTTTCTAAAAAGGCATACCGGTCAAACCATTATGTATCCCTTCGTAGGAAATAATTTTTACCTACCACAGAAAAAGTAAGACTACTTCTCACAAAGAACTGGGAGTGACAATACCTAGGGGTGACCTAACTGCCTTCTGGCCTTGGCAGAAACATGAGTGTTTATCCTCTGACACAGCAGTCTTTTTTATCTTCTTAGTGAGTGATACGAATGCACCGAATGCACCGAATGTCAAATTCATTCGCCGGGGGCAGCGTGGGGGCGGGGCGGAGGGATCTCTATTTTCTTCTTATTGGAAGTTTCCTAAAGGCTGTAGAAGGATGTTTTTGTTTTGCTTTGTTTTAAACGTTTCAATAATTCTTAGAAGCTTCTGGATGGCATAAAAGTTTTTTTTAGATTATGCTAGAAGTAGAGCCCAAGTTTGCTCTTAAAATTACCTAAAAATCTAATTTTTGTCAATGGAGTAATTTTGGACTGAACATTTCTAAGTTTCCTTTTAGTTTTAAAGAGTTCTAAGATCTACATCATACTCTGAGATCTTGACATTATTCCATCTCTTTCCTCTAGCTTCTCTGTTGAGATAATAAGCTGCTAACTCACGTGAAAGTGACTCGAGTGAGCTTAGTCTCTAATGTAGCATTACTGTGTCTTTCCTTTAAAAACTCATTTGTATTTGTATTAAATCTACTCTCACATCTCTTTGTTTTATAAGATCTAATTTGCTTTTTTAAAATATGGTACGGTGCCGGATCTCAAAGATAGACCCCAGTGGACCTCGCTTTGGAATTTGTGCCCTTTTTCAGTGATTATCATCTGACCTATGACTTGCTTTAACCAACAGAATGTGGTGAGAGTGATCAGAGCCTGTTCCATGACTAGCCTTTAAGAGGACTGGCAGCTTCTGCTTTCTCCTCTTGGAACGTGTGCTTTTCGGAGCCCTGGGATTATATTTTAAAAAATTCTCTGCTGGAGAGACCACTCGGAGAAACCCTGTGAAGGGGCTCTGAGACTACATTGCAAGGGAGTGAGGTCCAGCTGTCTCAGTGTCCTGCTCAAGCCTCCAGATGACTCCAGCCCTAGCCGCCTTCTGACTTCAGCTACATGAAGGACTTGAAAAGAGATCAGCAGAAGAACCACCAACTGAGGCCAGCAAACCACAGAAAAGTGGGACAATAAATGGCTGTTATTTAGGCCCCTATGTTTTGAGGCAGTTAGTTATACAGCATCAGTACCAAAATATGTCACACCTGTTAAGTGTAGGACTATAAATGAAAAGGAAGCGCATTGGTGTTCTCAGAATAATTTGTATACTAACTTGAAAAATTTTTACAGGAGAGCAAACTTTTGAAGCACTCAATATGTAGGTTAGCATTCTTATTGTCGATCAAAAAACTCATCAAAAAGTGGGATTCTCTCAGTCCTGGTCCTCACCAATGCCTGTGGTTTCTTCTCAACGTCCCCCAACTCATCTGAGTCAGAGCTAGAACTGCCCCAAAGAAGCTGTCCCCAGGCCTCTTGTTCACGGAACCATGTTTCCATTTTGCCAGTTTTCCGGGGATAATAGTCATTCATTGTTCGATGCTGCAAAAATGCTGCATTCCGCAAATTTCCTACAAAAAATGAAAAGTTTATTTGTTTATTTCCCCTGACAGTCATGTATTTATTTAAGTGTGTAGTTTTCTATGAACACAGAATAATCTGCTCGGTATTAAATACGTACACATATATAAGTAATCCAACTTAGGAAACATTAAAAATATTTTTCCTATTATTTTTTTTTTAATTTAAATCTTCTGAATGTCAGAAGAATAGTACAATGCACACCTGTATACCCCAAGCCATAAATAACATTTCGTTACAATATTGATATATATATATACACACATACATATATAGTTATATCTATATATATATCGCTATTTATGTACAAATAAATAAATAAATGTACTTTTCAGCTGAACCATTTGAGAGTTAGTTGTAGAGTCACTTCCCTCCAAATTACATCACCACAAAGCTAAGAACAAGAGCCGGAAGGAAAAGAGAAGAGAAGAAAGAAGAAAAGAGTAGGGGATTGTTCTTGAATTAAAGGAGACTAAGAAATGAGAAAATAAAGTGCAATGCATGATCCTATCCTCGACTGGATTCTGGATCTAAAAAATGAAACACAAAGGCAACAAAAAGTAGCTATAAAGGGTATTACTGGGACAGCCATGGATATTTGAATATGAACCATATATTAGAAAGTAGTATATATAAATGTTAAAATTTTTAAGTGTAATAACTGTATTATACTTATTTAAGTGTAATAATTGTCTTGTGGTCATGCAGGAAAATTATCCTTGTTTTTAAAGTACAGGTGGCCAGAAAAGATCAAAATTGTGAAAGTGACATTCAAATAATGTATTTAGGGTGACACTTCCCTGAAGTATATCGTTATTTTCACTATAAGACATCAGTTCCATCTTTCTTCAATTTTGTTCATATTTCTGTGCATTTTTATGGCACTTTACATTTTATATGTGCTTTTATGCATATTTAGATTAATTTTTACATAAACCATACATGGTATGCAATGCTTTATTCCCATTTTACAGATGTGGAAACTGAGGTTCACAGAGGTTAAATACTAGAATTTATCTATAATCTAAATATAGAATAAACCTACATAGACAAATATATAGCTAATATTTATTGAGAGGCTACTATGTACTGTTCTAGGAACATAGAACATGGAGCTTACATTTAGTTGGGGCTAAAATGAAGAACTTTGATTCCAAGTCCATGGCTTTTTCTACCCACTATATTCAAATCATGGTTATCTGGAAAGGGCAGGAGCACCATAAGCATGTTAAAACTCATAGAATTGTAAGTCCAAAGAATGATGTTCACTTCATGGAAGTTTCTATCTATCTATCTATCTATCTATCTATCTATCTATCTATCTATCTATCATCTATCATCTCTCTCTCTCTATCATCTATCTGTATCTATCTATCATCTATCTAATTTATTATATAAATATGTATAAAGTATGGGTGATTTTATTTTAAAGAGGCAGCAGAAAACAAAGACTGATTTTTATCTCACAAGAGACCTGAAACTCTCATTCTATCTTCCAAAAGAAGGAAAAAGAATGGGCAAATATAGCATTAAATAAGAGGAGATGGGTACAGAGGAACCTTAATTACCAGAACCTGACTACCAGAATGCTCTATGATCTTGGCTACACTCCACATTTAGGAGAAAGCAAAGTGAACTTCATTTAGAAGACAAGGAAAGAAATCAAAGATGCAGTTTGGGAATAAGTAAAAAGGAATGATTGCTTCAGCAGATGTCTACTGCAGTGGTAAAATATGTAGGCTTTGCAGAGGGCAGCCTTCTCTTAAAAGATAAGTTGGAGGAATTACAACCTCTACATTTGCAGACTTTCCCAAGGTTGTCCAGGACAGAGCTCCTAGTCCCTGGAGTCCTGATGAGGCCGTACAGGGAGTGGGTGGGAGAGCACATTTGAGTCAGAAGGACCTGGTCTTGAATCCTGGCTTTGTCACATGGGGGCTAATCAGAACTCCTACATTACAGGTTGTGTGAGGATTAAAAGCAATAATTTGTGTTAAGAGCAGACCTCAGGGCTTGGCTTATAGTAACCACTCAATAAATCTTAGCTGGAACAAAATGAAGCAGCTCTAAAAAAGCAGGAGAAAAGAGGAAAACTCCCTTCACCATGTGTCAGAGTCTCTCCCAGGCCCCTCCAAATCTGGGGCATCCTCCAAAGACTTCATCAATGTTGGCTTTTCTTGACCTGACCTCAAGTGATGATTGTGTGAACTGTAGCTGAGACACTTTTCTTGGTTGTTTTGCCAGTATTTTTTAAATTGTAAAAGTTGTTTCTCTATATGATTACATAGCATATTTCATTCTGGGACTCTGGAGTACAGGTTAAATAGAGGCCCCCAGTAGATTTTCAATCGTCCAGTCTTTTCTTATTTAGTTAACTTATTGATTATGTATCTTGTTTCTCTCATCAGGAGCAGGGTATTTTGCAGCTGATGATTTTGCCTTAGAAGCTCAAGACCTCCAGAGGCAAGGCCAGCATTTCCATAGATCTCTTGATGGTCAGTCTTGCTGAGGTGGGGATATGGCCTGAAGTAGAGCAATCTACGCGTATGGACAATATTGTACATTTGCAATGCAGATTTGCCCTGGGGGGAATACAACAGGGAAAATTTAATGGGGCTCTAATAGATAGGGCAACATAACACAGAGGTTATTGACATGAATGTCTATTAGAAATCACAGAGCAATCCAAGGCCACTGAGCTATCTGGCCTGGCTGAAATGTGGGGGCTGAGCATGAGAGTGACAGGAGATGAAGCCAGTAAAGTGGGCAGTGGCTAGATCCTGAAGGATCACAGTACCAGGGAAAGGAGTTTAGACTTTGTCCTCAGGCTAATGGAGACTCACTAAACTTTTTTTTTTTTTTTTTTTAGC